TTTTGAGAGGGTCCCGGACCCCAACCGCCAAACAGTGCCCGCGGGGCAGCCACGCCCATAGTTACTCTAACTACTCAAGATCCACCTGATCTGATAGATGACCGTCTCAATTTCTCTTTCACTTTTGGTATTTCGTATCTTTGTGACACGTCGCACGTCCATGTATAATGTATATAATGCCCAATGATTCTGAGACAGAATTCGCAACCTTGACTAATTCTCAAACCATACCAAGATGACACCTCAAATTACTAGAAAAAAGTTTTAAAATCACATTTCTATCAACGTAAAAAGAACCAAGCCAGACACTGAAATTGAGGAAAACTACCCAGTCCGGAAATATTCGAAATATTTAATCAATATACCCATCTGCTACACAGCATAATCTAGTTACCTTGGACCAAGGTCCTTGGTAACTAAACCTAGACAAGTAATGATATCAATATCAGATCTATAATGTGTAGATAAAATGTGGGGTTCTGGTATAATAGTGGGATAGTGGGATAGCGGGGGTGTATGGTTATACTCAGAGTTCAGTAGTTGTATAAAGTACGTGATGTTCGTCTGCAAAGTACGTGACTTACATAGTCACGTACCTACCCGCTACTTAAAACTATTCCTGTGTAGATGTTATAATTACATTATCGAGCTAAATTAAACAGCTTTTTGTTTGCTTTCTTTGTGACACACACACACGCACCAAAGCAGCTCAGCACAGACATTTCAAGAGGAATGATAAGTAGATAGTATGTAGTATGTACTTTAGATGTACTTTACAGGAAGACTCATTACTGAATACCGACCACAGCTCATAAAATTTCCAAAACTTACAACATCCACACAACACACTTCCACCCTCCTCGGAAAGTTACGGTTTCAAAGTGTACACACACACACACAGTAGTCCAGCTGAATCAGTAGAACTGTGAGCCCTTCCATGTCATCAGTTCATTAACGGTAATTGAGTCCTAGTGTTAAACATGACTACTGGATAATATATCATCATATATCTCCACCGACTATAGTGTAAACATATATATATCTATATATAAAATATCCGGAGGAGTATTTTCAGATCCTAGTTTGAGCTGAGTATAGATCGTGTAGGATTACTGGAGATTAGGTATTTTTATTTGTCTCGGAGAAGTGTTTGAGAGTGTGAGTTGACAGAATTTTACCAGTGCATATTGCATTTAATGGTTACAATATTATAGTGTAAACGGTTTATTGTAAAGCTGCAGCTTGCAAGTACAAAAACGTGACCCAGGAAAGAAAAGGGAGAAAGAAGCCATCGAAATTTTCATTAATATTAAAATACAGGTCGCTAAAGCAACTGCCTAATTTGGACGGGTTTTTTATTCACTTAAAAAATTGGATTCAGAATTTTAAATAGCGGCAAAAATTAAAGCACAGCAGTTCTTTAAATAACTTTAACGCTATTATATCTCAATCATACTGTTACATTTTATAACAAGACCGGACGTGAACGTTAATTCTGAGGAAAATGCCCAGGGCGCACTATCAGAGTTAAAATATGCAGTTATGTGTATGTTACAATATGTAGATATATCTAGGTTATACATGCACTTCACAGTACTTGTTACAGCAAACATTATGGATCTATAATTCCGGTTAATATTAGAATATTAAACGCTGTTGTAACACACAAAGCTCTCTCTCTACACGGATTACATTGTCTTTACAACGCAAGTATAAAGTGAGATACAATTGAATTGTGATTGTACAAGTCGGCTCCCCAAGTGCAGCAGCAAGACCGACATTAGTTGACTGACACGTGGGCACAAGTTCACCACGTGGGCACAAGTTCACCACGTGGGCACAAGTTCACCACGTGGGCACAAGTTCACCACGTGGGCACAAGTTCACCACGTGGGCACAAGTTCACCACGTAGGCACAAGTTCACCACGTGACCCTGCTCAGTGTATCACGTGTGAATGACGTGCGGTAATGCTCACTGTTAACTATATTAGTCATGGTTCACGTGCACGATCAATGCACTATTGTATTGGCCTCATTTCTGGGCTAACCTGATTTCTAGGCGATCCTCTCTAACGGTATCTTATAAAATGGGTTATACTGAATATTGTAATAATATTGATATCACAGTACTAATATGTCTCATTCAGCGCTATGATAAACCTGGACACTATGTTAGATCACTTCAAACCCTTCCTTGCAGGTATGTTCAACACTTCTAACCTTTAAGCCTTCCTATACAAGTTTACAACTTTAAGAGGCGTGCGTGTAAGTTGCTGATAGGTGGCTGGCAGTGCACAACAACACACACTACCCCTGTTGAGTAACAGTCACTACAGTGCACAACAACACACACTACCCCTGTTGAGTAACAGTCACTACAGTGCACAACAACACACACTACCCCTGTTGAGTAACAGTCACTACAGTGCACAACAACACACACTACCCCTGTTGAGTAACAGTCACTACAGTGCACAACAACACACACTACCCCTGTTGAGTAACAGTCACTACAGTGCACAACAACACACACTACCCCTGTTGAGTAACAGTCACTACAACACACACTACCCCTGTTGAGTAACAGTCACTACAGTGCACAACAACACACACTACCCCTGTTGAGTAACAGTCACTACAACACACACTACCCCTGTTGAGTAACAGTCACTACAGTGCACAACAACACACACTACCCCTGTTGAGTAACAGTCACTACAGTGCACAACAACACACACTACCCCTGTTGAGTAACAGTCACTACAGTGCACAACAACACACACTACCCCTGTTGAGTAACAGTCACTACAACACACACTACCCCTGTTGAGTAACAGTCACTACAGAGTACAGCTAGGCTCTAGCTCAGTCAACACCAGCCTACTGTTAGGTGACACGTACTACCTGGACCAGTTGTAATACTGCCACTTGTATTAATACAGTGACCTGTAGTAACTAATACTACTAGTAATACAGAGCTGTAGTAACCTGTAGTAACTACTAGTACTAGTATAATAGTAGTAGTTCTAGTAGTAGTAGAAGTTACAACACCCCCCTAGTAGTAGTATAACCCCAGTATAACCCCGTATAACCCAGTATAACCCAGTATAACCCCGTATAACCCCGTATAACCCCAGTATAACCCCGTATAACCCCAGTATAACCCCGTATAACCCCAGTATAGCCCCGTATAACCCAGTATAACCCCGTATAACCCCAGTATAGCCCCGTATAATCCAGTATAACCCCGTATAACCCCAGTATAACCCCGTATAACCCCAGTATAACCCCAGTATAACCCCAGTATAACCTCAGTATAACCCCAGTATAACCCCAGTATAACCCCAGTATAACCCCAGTATAACCCCAGTATAACCCCAGTATAACCCCAGTATAACCCCAGTATAACCCCAGTATAACCCCGTATAACCCCAGTATAACCCCAGTCTAACCCCGTATTTCTGTCAGACACCGCCTGCAGCAAGTAATATACCACCCCGTACAGGCTCCCCTCGTACGTTATATGTTTTCTGTGACTCCAACTTTACCCGGCAACATGCAGAACTTGGTGTTTCCTAATTACCTCTGAATTGGGGGAATGTACAGGATTCTAACTGGTGCAATTTAGCGGGCTTGATTCCTATGTGAGTACCTTAGTGCAAGAAATATAGGCGGCAAGAAATTAAGGCGATTCTGACAAAATCGCCTTAATTTCTTGCCGCCTTAATATCTGACCACCGTAATTTCTAACCGCCTTAATTTTTTTTCTTGCGATTTTTTCATAAGAAATTTTCGTGTGATTTTATTATTTTAAATTTACATGTCGATTTCGTTATTAGTTTTAATTTTAAAAAGAAATAATTTTTAATTTTAATGATGATATGTAGTATACATACATAAAAATTCCTTGCCGCGTACAGAATGTGCACTATCATTTTGTCAAATGCAATGAATATACCAATTGACTTGCAGTTTGCTGATGTAGTGGATGTCTACCTAATTTAAAATTATAAACTTAGACGACAGAACAGCAATCACTATAAATATAATGTGCATGCACCATTTAGTTTTTATGTGACCAATGTCCAATATATCGTATTTTTAAACAGATTTCTATGCTTTATAGACTGATAAAAGAATAAAATTGACACTATTTCGACCAAAACTATAACCAAATTTGCGATCAAAAATCGTATTTTTTCCGAAAAAAATATCGCCTTAATTTCTTGCCGCCTTAATTTCTAGCGCCTTATATTCTTGCCGCCTATATTTCTTGCACTAAGGTATGCGCAGACAAGCAAGGGAACATTCAGCTTATCACAGGTTGTAGACTTGTAGATTTGTTAGTTACTTGGTGGCAGTTACAGTTGAGTCTTTAGTAGAGGATAGTAGAGGATAGTAGAGGATAGTAGAGGATAGTAGAGGATATTAGAGGGTGAAGTATAGAAAAATGTGTGACAATCTAGCAGGTGGGCCACTTAGTCAAAGGACCAATTTGACGTGGACAGCCGATACCTCGTACCGGACAAACAGCTAGCTTTTTAGTGGTTAGACGTACAAACACGTATACAGTTATACAGGTATAGTTAACGTATAGTTAACGGGTACCCAGTTTAGTATAGGTTACGCGTGTGTAGCAATACTTTCAACACTATATTGCTTTGGCAGCTAGAGAGAGGGTACTAATGGTAAATATGAGGTTTCTAGTATTAACTCAGGTTTATTTCTCTAATATCCGAGTGCTGTTTAGTGAGGAGTGCTTTTTAAAGTGAAGCGAGGTAGATTCACGTGTTCAGTGAACTTTCTAGAAACTAGATTCACGTGTTCAGTGAACTTTCTAGAAACTAGATTTACATCGTGTAAAGATGAGTGTTTCAGGTAAGGTAGTGAGTGTAGTGAGGTCCCTGTACAGTGTATATTAGCACTACCTTATTACCACAGATCACAAAGTTACCAGGTTACCAGGTTACCGGGTTAACAGGTTACCAGAGTTACCAAGTTAGTTATAAGGAATGTTGTAAGGAATGTAGTCTACAAGTCCATTATAGAACGCTCCATACAATGGCACCAGGAAGTGTAGGACATTGCAAGCAGCTTCTTCCTACAATTAACTTATACTAAATTAATTGACTTACACTGAATTAACTACCCTCCCGGATCGAATTATTTGTGGTAGAAGCGGACTACTGGTGGTGGTGGTACAGGATCCTCTGGTACTTCTCAGTAATATGGTAAGAGTATGCTAAGTGTGTGGTAGTTAAGAGTGGTAACCAGTAAACCGGAGGGAGCGAGAGAGAGAGAGAGAGAGAGAGAGAGGGAGAGAGAGAGAGAGAGAGAGAGAGAGAGAGAGAGAGAGAGAGAGAGAGAGAGAGAGAGAGAGAGAGAGAGAGAGAGAGAGAGAGAGAGAGAGAGAGAGAGAGAGAAGGAGAAACATCCTAACTACGTGAGAGTTAGCCTCATGAGGGTAGATTAGTCCTTTATATCACGTCACATTGTATGTACTATGTAACACGTTCACTTGTAACATTGACATTCCAAATAGCAGTACAAATATACAATTATACAACCATTCAAGGGAATACAAGCTCCTGCAACTCATAACCTGATCTACACTGATCACGTGATGGTCACGTGATGGTAGTAGTCACGTGATGGTAGTCAAGTAGTAAACAATTTTACGAAAGACAAAAGCGGGTTTTATGGCCACTGAAACGAAACACTTGGTATTTGTAACTCACGTAAGATTGCAGATTATCGGATATGTTTTCAGGTATGTCGTCAACAAATTGAGATGGACTCTGTATAGGCGAGGGGGTGAGAATAGCAGCAGTTTTAGTGGCATACGATACAGTTTCTTTAGATCTGAGACTTGATTGGTAACCTGGAAACACAGAGTCTGGCTCCTTTTCGTCTGGTGATGGAGTGGCAGGTGGAATATCTAGGGTAGAAACAGCGGATAAAGTCAGTTTGGGGCGTAGAGCGGGACTTATACCGAAGGTTTTGAGATTCTTTTCGGCGTGAAGAGCTTTAGGGACACCAAGATGATCGGTATCTGTAACAAGATGATCTTGACTTGTGGAGGAGGAACTTTCTTAAGTTTGAATGCAGGACTCTTGATCTCATCTAAAATTGAAATACCTTTAGAGATGCCAGGTTTTTTGTTGCTGGTAGGTGGAGGACGTGGAGGAGGTGGTGGTGTCTGGGCCTTACTCACAACTTTATCCACAACATCATCAAATACCTCCTCGATCTGATCACCTATCTCCTTGATATCTGAGAGAAGTCGAGAGTAGTTATTCTGTTTGCCACTTGGAATCGAGGGCAGGTCGTTATTATCATCAGGAGTTGAATCTTCGATAACTCTTCCCAGTCCTATCCTAGATTCCACGGGTTTCGGAACAGACCTGAGTTTAATTCCACCACTAATCTGACCCAAAATGTTAGCTTCTTCAGGTGGTTCAGGTCTAATACTTAGGTAACCTGGTGGGGCTGATTGACGACGGTTTAGCGGACGAGGAGGCTTAATAACTGTCACTTCTCCAAGAACACGTCCTAAACCTGGTACAGGTTTCTCTAAATTTATAGCTCCCCCTTCAAAAGTCCTCTTGAGGCTGAAGTTTTTTGTTTTAATTTCTTCAAGAGGGTTTTTAGGACGATTGTCGACATGACGGTGGGTTGGAGGGCGTCTTTTGACAACATCTCCAAATATACTAGCAGCCACAGACACCCGTCGATCTAGCTTCGCATCATTTTTACTTTTTTTTTGCTTTGTTGGTGACAATTTAAACTGTGGGTTCATGGACTCTTTCTCTGGACTTTTCTTCTGGAGCTCAACTGACTCCTTTCTCCTGAGCAAAGGGGAATGAGACGGAGAAGGGGGAACTCGTAAATCTGAGTTTTTCCGTTTTAAAGGTGATGGTATGATGATTGGAGTTTCGATAATTTCTGCTGTCAATGTGGCAGGAGCATTGGACCCATTTTTGTGAATCGGATAATTTTCGTAGACATGACTATCCATGGTTTGATCAGATCTAGGTGGTCGGGGTGGTGGAGGGGGACCATGAGGAGGTCGGTTGCTTGATTCTGGGACTTCACAAAGCGCTAGCTTTGATACAGATTTCTTCATTGATGGAAGTATCGACGATTCTGAATCTGAATAAGAATAAGAAGATAAGGACGATGACGAACTTTTTCTCTTTCTCCTCTTTTTAACTTTCTTTGACTTGCTTGCTTTCTTTTCTTTCTTCTTAGAGTCTTTCTTGGATGGTTCTTTCTTGCTGTCAGGCTCGTTCTGTTTGTGCTGGAGTACAACAAACTTGGCAGGTTTTGAGGATCTGACAATTTCGTTTTTGTGGTCGTTTTTTCGAACATTTGGAGATACCTCGACAAACTTTGAAACCTTTTTAAATTTGATTATCTCGGGTTTGATTTCTGTAGTTCTAGGGGGAGAGTCTTCGTGGACAGCAGATAAAGTGAGAGGTTTTTCAAGCTTCACATTTGTAACCTCTTGCTCATGTTGCTTTTCATTCACTGACTCTTCAGAATTAAGATCCTGCTTTCTCTCAGCTTCATTTTCTATAATGGGATCTGGAGTTTTGGGTTCTTTATGGAACGGCGAATCTATGGTTGATTCCTTCTTTCTTGATGAGCTAGAGTGCCTTCTCCTGCGATCCTTCTCTGGTGTCAGATTGTTCATTTTATCTTTTTCATTTTCCAGTAGCTCTTCTGATTGAGATGATTTATGGCTATCTTGCTTGCATTCAGCTTCATTTTCTTTGATGGGATCTGGAGTTTTGAATCCTTTGTGAACGGGCGCATCTGTCGTTATTTCCTTCTTTCTAGAAGAGCTAGAGTGCCTTCTCCGGCGATCCTTTTTGTCCTCAGAATTTTGTCTATCATGAAAATGAAATTTCGGCCTTTCAGCAGCAGAGTATCGCTTGGTCCGGTGAGATTTGCTACTGCTTGGTGATTTTGCCCTACCCAAGGGTTCCGCAGACTTAGAGCGCATGGAAACTACATCTTCGGCAAGAGGATCCAAGCAATGAACTGAAATTGCTTCCTGGTTATTGGAGCCATGTTCCATATTAAAGCATGTGACAGATAATGATCATAATGATCATAACGTTGATGAAAGAGAGCAAAAGTACAACACAGCCGAAAAAAGCAACAAGTTTAATGATTTAGTACCATATTATCTACACAAGGAAATAACATTTAGAGACTGTGCAAGCTAATCATTGACAAACGTTTTGACCAGACAGCGAATATAATATATGGTATCTACTTTAAGTGATTAATTTAGACTATACTAAGGACATAATATTTATGGTTTAAATGGACTGTGGAAACGACTCTAGTTATATTTTGTATCAGTATGATATTATATGATCTGGTTAAAGTGCTGAAGCACATTTCCATTAAAACTATATTATATAGAAGTACCCTAAGTAGCGCTAATACAAGGTAGTAAGAATATGTTTATGGTGATCATGATGTACACAATTCGGATTATAGTACATTCTTCCAGGGGCGGTGTGATTCAACTTGTCACAATGTTGCAAAACATGGATCACTAATATTTTATGAAAAGATTGATAATGCAATAGGTCAATATAATATTCAAAGCTATTATAATAAGTTCCCCCAGTATTGCAACTAAATATGATCAGTGTTATATTATATTTAAATATATTAATATATATATTATTATCCCTATTATATATTGTATAATCTATTATTATATATTATATAATATATTATTATATATTGTATAATCTATTATTATATATTATATAATAAATTATTATATATTATATAATCTATTATTAGTTACTAACCTTTACAAGTAGTTATCAGGTCATGTTTTCTATCTTTTCATCCTTAGCTGTGGATACCATGTTAGCATCAAATAAGAATTACAGTGAATTCAACTTGGTAAATTACTTGGTAAACACAGATTATACTGAGGAAAAATTGAGAAAAAGAAATAGTTTCATGTATCGTTGAAATTATAATGAATATTTGAATAATCAAAAACTTGTACAGCTACCGTATTCCAAAAAATAAATCTGATATTAATAATATAGGGGGGGTGTCGTGTCCGTCTATGTCCGCCTATGTCCTGTCCTTTTTGGATTCTATGAGACAACGGACGTGTTTTTTGGGACATTGGCGGACACGGACGGACATTGGCGGACTCGGACGGACATTGGCGGACTCGGACGGACATTGGCGGACTCGGACGGACATTGGCGGACCCGGACGGACATTGGCGGACTTGGATGGACAAGCGCGTCACGCAGTACGTGAGTGGCTAGATTATAGATTGTTTTATTATAATATTATTTAATTATGTTATTTTGTTGTTATGTCGTGTAAGTTTGTGGAGTAATAGCAAGAAGGTATCGTATACATTTAAATTTGTTCTCTTGATTATTTATTAATGATTTTATGTAGGGTCGGCACCAATGTAATTATGGTCTTACCACCGTGTTTTGGTTCAGCCGAAATAAATTTTACCTTGATGTTTTTACATATTGTTTCTCACTCCAGCTGAATCTGGTAGTGTTGAGTATCATGAATATTTTTCTAGCTCTCTTTTTCCATGTTTTTGCTTCACAGGAGATATTGTGGTCTTTTTATTGAATATAACTGTAATACATTGATGTAAAGTTTATTTGAATTTTGAAATAAAAAATTGGTGGACATTAGCGGACATTGGTGGACATTAGCGGACAAACATTTTGAGGACTGAAGAGTACTGAAGAGTACTGAGGAGGATGGCTGAGAAGGATGGCTGAGGAGGATGGCTGAGGAGGATGACTGAGGAGGATGACTGAGGAGGATGACTGAGAGGGAGGAGAAGCATCAGGAAGACCCAGGAGGAGGAGGAGGACCCAGAAGGAGGACCTAGGAGGAGGAGAACTGAGGAGGATGACTGAGGAGGAGGAGGACTCAGGAGGAGGACTGAGGAGGACTGAGGAGGAAGAGGACTGAGGAGGATGGCTGAGGAGGATGGCTGAGGAGGATGACTTAGAGGGAGGAGGAGGAGGAAGAGGAGGAAGAGGAGGAAGATGACTGAGGAGGAGGAGTCGAGGAGAAGGACTGAGGAGGAGGAGGACCCAGGAGGAGGAGGACCCAGGAGGAGGACCCAGGAAAAGGCCCCAGGAGGAGGAGGAGGACTGGGGAGGAGGAGAACTGTTGAGGACTGATGAGGAGGACTGAGGACGAGGAAGAGGAGTAGGAGGAGGACTGAGGAGGGGAGGAGGAAGAGGACTGGGGAGGATCAGGAAGACCCAGGAGGACCCAGGAGGAGGAGGAGGAAGAGGACCCAGGAGGAGGAGGAGGACTGAGGAGTACTGAGGAGGATGGCTGAGGAGGATGGCTGGGGAGGATAGCTGAGGAGGATGACTGAGGAGGATGACTGAGAGGGAGGAGGAGGAGGACTCAGGAGGAGGGCTCAGAAGGAAGAGGAGGAGGACTCAGGAGGAGGACTCAGGAGGAGGACTTAGGAGAAATGAGAAGGAGGACTGAGGAGAACTGAGGAGGAGGAGGAGGAGGAGGACTGAATAGGAGGAGGAGAAGGAGGGGGACTGGGAGAGGACTGGGGAGGAGGAGGACTGATGAGAAGAATGAGGAGGAGGACCCAGGAGGAGGAGGACTGAGGACCGACGCGAGGAGGAAGAGGAGGAGGATGAAGAGGAGGAAGAGGACCCAGGAGGAGGAGGACTGAGGTGGAGGACTGAGGAGGACTGAGGAGGATGGCTGAGGAGGATGACTGAGAGGAAAGAGGAGGAGGAGGAGGAGGAGGACTCAGGAGGAGGAGGAGGACTGAGGAGGACTGAGAAGGAGGAGGAGGAGGACTGAATAGGAGGAGGAGGAGGGGGACTGGGGGAGGACTGAGGAGGAGGATGGAGGACTGAGGAGAAGGATGAGGAGGAGGACTGAGGACTGAGGAGGAAGAGGAGGAGGATGAAGAGGAGGAGGACCCAGGAGGAGGACCCAGGAGGAGGACTCAGGAGGAGGAGGAGGACTGGGGAGGAGAAGGACTGTTGAGGACTGATGAGGAGGACTGAGGACGAGGAGGAGGAGTAGGAGGAGGACTACTCCTCCTACATATAGGGTACCGAACGGACAAAAAACATGATCCCCCTATAACAGCAAAAATTGAACATTTTATTTAGCACTTTAGGTGTCCATTAATGTCCGCCTATGTCCGCCTATGTCCGCCCATGTCCGTCTATGTCCGCCTATGTCCGTCTATGTCCGCCTATGTCCGCCTATGAGAAGCTTTGATTTCGGAGTTTTAACTCAGAGATTGCCCGTAGGAGGACTCTCTAAGTCCTTCTAGGAAGTTCTTTGGCAGGTGTCTGTGTGGAGTCAAGGAAATAGGCAGGTTTGAGACTGACAATTTTGTAGGAGTTTTTTGACATTTGGGACACCGGACAATTGAAAGCTTTTAGGATGAGTACTCGGATTGGATGAGTAGGGGGACTGTAGGAAGACCAGAGGACCAGGAAGGTTAAGTAGAAGAACCTCTGCAGGAGTGGTTATTAGAGACTTGAGGATGGCTGAGGGATGGCTGGTGGAGGTTCATTTAGAGGAGATTTTAGGTTACTAGAAGGCGAGAGGATGATCTCTATAGGAGGACTTCAGTAAGTAGAGTTATGGATCTGATAGGAGGAGTTAGGAAACTTGGAACGGGCGAACTGGTTATACCTTGGAGGAGAGAGGAGGGGACTTCTAGAGGAGACTTTTGCCTCAGAATTTTGGTAGCAGAAAGGAAATTGCTGAGAAGAGAGGATGTGGACCGGAGGATTGGTACTGAGGATCCGACGCGAGGAGGAAGAGGGAGGATGAAGAGGGAGGAACCCATGTAGGAGGAGGACTGAGTCGAGGCAATGAGGAGAACTGAGGTTGATGGCTGAGGAGGATGACTGTGCAAGAGGAAGAGGAGAGAATGATCAATGAGAGTGATGAAAGAGAGCAAGCACAGCGAAAAAGAAGGAAGTAACCCAGGATGGAGACTCAGGAGGGAGGAGGACTGGGGAGATAAGGAACTGTTGAGGATTGACAAGATTTGAGGACAGAAGAGAGTAGAGGATGGAATGAGATATTGGGAGAAGATGACTGGAGGATCAGGAACGACTCATTAGGACCCAGGAGAGGAAAGAAGGAAGATAGGACCAAGGAGGAAGGAGGAGAAGGAGTACGAAGTGAAAGCCTAAGAAGGAATTGGCTGGGAGGATAGCGAGCGAGGATGAACTGAGGAGATGACTGAAGTTTAGAGAGAAGGACAGGAATAAAGGAGCAGAAGAAAAGTTAGGAACTCAGGAGGATGACTTCAGGAAGGGGACTTAGGAGATGGAGAAGAGGACTGAGCAGGTTTAAGGATGCGAAGGAGCCCAGGACGACATAGGAGGAACGGTGGACTTGGGAGAGGACGTAAGGGAGAGGACTAATAGAAATGAGGAGGAAGACCCAGGGGGTGACTGAGGTTCGAATTTCGCGTAGGAGGGAGAGATAAATTGAGAAGAAGTAGGACCAAGGAGGAGGAGAGGTGGAGGACATGAGGAGGACTGAGGAGGAATGGCTGAGAGATGACTGACCGAGAAAATGAGGACAGGAGGAGAGGAGACTCAGAGGGTTGGAAAGGTGATGGGAAGTTGAGCTAGTTGTGAAGCTGGGGGACGGAGCCGGAGATTGAGGAGGTGACTGAATAGGTAGGGAGTAGGTGGACCTGCGACGAGGAAGGAGGTAGGAGGATAATAGGAACGATTAGGTGAGGACTGAGGATGAGGTGGAAGGTGAGGTGTCGACAGACTGCAGTCTTGAGGAGGTAGGACCCAGAAGTGACTTTTCGATGAGGAGGCTAGGTGAATAGGACTTCCGTTGAAGATGAGAGGGGACTGAGAATCCGCAGGAGATGGAGGAGGACTACTCCTCCTACATATAGGGTACCGAACGGACAAAAAAACATGATCCCCCTATAACAGCAAAAATTGAACATTTTATTTAGCACTTTAGGTGTCCATTAATGTCCGCCTATGTCCGCCTATGTCCGCCCATGTCCGTCTATGTCCGCCTATGTCCGTCTATGTCCGCCTATGTCCGCCTATGAGAAGGACTGAGGA